GCGCCGGGCAGCTCCCCCGCCGGCGCGGCCCCGGCCGCGGAGCGGGGCCAGGGCCGGTGCCTCCGCCGCCCTCACGGTCTGTACAGCCCCAAGGGTTTGGCCTGTAATCGATGAGTAGTGCTAAACGCGAGCCTATAGTCAATTAGTAGTCTTAAATGCAACTTATGTGCTCCCTCCCCCCCCCCCACACCCTTCCTCAAAAGCGACTGTGCTAACTTCTTCACGTTTATGGAAAATCGCACAAATCCAGGGTTTTGGCCTCAGATTCTTGACTTACGAGGTTGAGAGGCTGCACAAGGGCTGAACTGTTGTGTAAAGCGCATGGTTAGAAATGGCGATGGTGCTGATCTTGCAGAGGTTCTCTGATTTCCTCTATCTCTGCACCAGTCTTTTTCCTTACCAAGAGTTTTGGAAATGTGCATTGAACGTACTTTTGTCTCGTACTAGGAATGGATAACAGGAAGGAGGAAAGAAGTAGATCGCTATGTGCAACATCACACGAAGAGCTGAAAGTCCGAGGTAAGCGTTTCTCTGTTGCAATGCTATGGTATTATTTGTATTATCCCTTATGCGTTTGAGTATGACGTTTAGCATGATGATATATGATGATATTAGACTATGACACAATGGAAGAGGTCAAAAAGCTTCCTCAAAAATAAGAGTTCATTGTGTTTAACCTCTATGAGGTTAAAGTCACCATCGTAGAGCAGCTGTTAGCATGCTTGTCACTGTTGCCTTGTGTTATCCTAAGGAAAAGAAAAAAGGAAACGAAAACGTAGTAGAAGCAGATCATCATCAGTTTCATCCACATCATCTTCTAGTGCTACCACGTCCTCCACTTCTTCCTCCTCATCACGCTCGTCATCGAGGTCTTCTTCAAGTAGCAGGGGTAAGCTGCCACTTGTGTACAAGTGGTTTTTACCTGTGTTGAGAGCATTCTTGGAAACATGTAGAGCTTATTTTAAATGTGGCTACGCTGCCACAAAACGATACTACAGATTACAAATATTACGTGTTGAGAGTGTTTTCTTACAACCGTTTCCTTTGGTAATGTTAAGGTGCCTCCTTATCCACCATATGCAATGCTCCTGTGTTAATTTAAATGTCTTCAGAAATAAAAGCGTCTTATTTTGTTTGAAGAAATGTTACTTTGGTAAGAATATACATAAGTATACGTTTAAAGCTCTGGGTTTTTTTTTAAGTAAACTGAATACAGATCTTTTTCTACTTCACCTCTTTAGACCAGAGTTAAGGTTTTTGTTTTGGTCTTACTGTGATCTTGAAGTTTCAAACACTTAAATATAAGGACTTACAAAAGGTATATTAATACAAATAACTGAGTTCAGTGGAAACACATCCAAGTGTTGTAGGATTAAGACTTTCCTATTAAACTGCTGCTTACTCAGAGGACTTGGAGTAGCTTTGATCTTTTAAAAAAGATAAAATCTGGAAGTAAGTGCAGGTTTTCTGTATGGCTCCAGCTTGTGGCTTCAAGGGAAACGTATTGCTGATTATATCAAGACTGCATTATTTTGATGTTCTGTTTTGAAATATTTTATATCATTGTAGGTAAAGTGAGCAGATTGCCCTTTTTGAGTATAATACATGAGGCTAAACACTGAAGTGTGTTTTTTTTTCTTTTTACTGTGATTGGGAGGAAGACTCTATGGACCACAGTTCGCTTGACTACAACTCTTTAGCTTCAGGGTCAGATGAAGTTTCACTGTGCCATACTGGACCTCATATTTGTGAATATAAATTTTTTGCCATATATAACTAAGATTTTCTAATCTTTCCGTAATGCAAGGTTGTAGATCGATTATTTCTTGGACAGTGCTTCAGGAATCATATATTTGCTAAGATTATCGGCCCAACTGAACCGCATTCACTTGTATACAACTCAGTAGAGCTGGAATACCTGTAGTAGAGGAGGAAGAAAAGGGAGTACTTTCTTAATGCCACAGATGAACAAAGACTAAGTTCCACTTCTCTTGAAGTGGATTTAATGTCTACATGGAAATATTATTTTTTCTTCGTACTTCAGTGACTGATTCAAAGTGTCTGACCGTTATTATTTTCTGAAAATGTTCATACTTGTGAACTTGTACATTACAAGTTCCTGTCTTTTTGAATTAATTTTATGCCATGTGACATACTCTGAAATTTTTGAAAAGAATTAAAATGTCATGTCAGGCACTGGCTGTGTGATGATTCTTGGCATGCTTTCTGGCACATTATGTTCTTAGTTTTTGAGACTGTATCATTAGAAATATAATTTTTTAAATTCAACAGCCTCTCTTTGTTTGTTGTTTTCCAAAGTATATTACTGCATGGTTATAAAGAAAGTTATCAAGCGATGTCCAGAGGGTTAATGGCACACAAAAACAGAAGGGAGGGTTTTTGTAATGTATAAGCATGCTGTTGAAGCGTTGCACTGATGATGAGCAATACAGAAGATGACTGTCATCTGCTATGATTCTCTTACCCCAACAGTTACTGTTTGAGATTTTACTTAGCCCTGCCAGCTCTGACAGTTGTCTGGCGTAAAAAATAGCATTTCCATATCCCATTCCAAAACCTTATTTCTGATATTTTGATACACCAGCCTTGGACATCTTACTAAAATTTTACATTTTGGCCTCCAACTAGACTAGGCAGAAAAAAACTGAAAAAAGATTGAAAAAAACCCAACAAAATAAGTCATTCAGAATTTATCAGTCTTTTAGAAGGATGGCAAGAAATATGTTATCTGGGGAAAAAAATCATTCTGAATTAGGCCCAAGTTATCAATTTGCGTGCTTGAAGATTTGCTAAAACTTCACAGACAAAACATTCCCTAAATTTTCCATTCACAAGGGAGAGAGAAGATCTAGAAAAAATGTCCTACAAGGGCATGTTTAAACAAGTCAATTTACTCAATTTAGATTGAGAGGAAAAGACATGAGGCAATCAAGTTAAGACAGATATATATCTATGTGTATGTATATTGACGAGGTCTGATGTGTCAGCTATAACAAAGTTGGAGTTGACCTTCCTTGGGATAGCAGAATAGAGGTTTCTTCTGTCCTTGTTTTTTATATTATTCTCTTTTCTTATTTAGAGACTGCAGCTGCAGTTCTGGCTGTTAAGTACTGTAAAAGTATCTGGGAAACCTGAAAGGAGAGTGGGGGAAACTCTTCTGCTTTCTGAGTGATATCCCCCACCTGCCTTCTCCAAACTTCTTGGTGATGTAGATTGAATGGAAAATAAAGCTGTCTAATTTGAGTGCAGAAGGGACATTGCTGGAAGAAAAGACACTGGGATATGGAAATTTGACTGCAGCCTAGTAAAGAGGTGGAGCAGGGAGGGGCGTTCTCCTGGGAAGTGAAGGAAGCAGACAGACCAGATGCCAGAATGTGGAGAGGTGGGATAGCTGAGTTCGGAAACTGAGACTGAACCAGTGAGAAGGCAAGATGGGGAGGGATGCTGACTCAAAAAGAGTGAGCAGGAGGAAAAGTTGGTCTGGCTGGGCCAGGAAATCAACAGTTGGGAGCAGGCTGGAAACTAACTGCAGCTGAAGTCTAGAGTAGTTGGTCTGTGGTTCGTCATCATGATGACTGTGGCTAGGATCATAGCAGATGAAAACTGAGGCTGGAGGAGGTGTGGATGAAGGAATCAAGCTAGGTGAATGGGCAGAAGTGTCTGTGCTCATCACAGTGTACTACTTTTCAGAGCCTGGAAGGAAACCCAGCGTTCTTAAATGTGCCCCTTTTCCTGATGTTGGTAAATATTTGTAAAAACCGTCTGGTGAGTTACATCCTCCCCTTTGGGCTCTTAGTCCAGTCTGTTTCTACCAGGAAACTGAACAGAGTGATACCATTCTCATGGGTTCTTTTGACACCGTTATGTTGCATTTGTTATTAGGAGGCCAAAAAAAGCCTTCTTGCTTGTGCAGCCTCACCTTAGACCTTCTTAACTTTTGAGTCTAGCTGTGCTCCTGTATATTCTGTAATTGATCTTTTGCTTGGAATTTATTGCGAAGAAACTGCAGAGCTTGAAGGCAGTCTGTTGGAATACTAGAAATTGTTTCTCAGTCCCTTTAGGCTTACAGTCCCCATATTCAAAGTTAGTGCTTCAGAATCAGCTTCCTCACGTACCAGTGACAGTGTAAGATGTAAAAGGTATGATCAGCTTATAGAATTTGTGGGTTTCTGTTTTACAAGGTTTATATCTTGAAGTTGAAAAGTGAGCTAAGTAAGTACAAAAAGGACTTTTTCATCGCCTTAAACAGTGATAATGTTTTCGGTGGCTTGTCAGCCCCTACAGTACATTTTGGGGACTCCTCTCTGAGTTTGGATCCCTGGTTGTAAAACACTAATGTAAGATGGCGTGTTAGAGAGATTTGTAATCTGTAAAGCATAGCTGCAGAAAGAGAAATTCTGTCTCTAATATATTGATGTAAGTAATTGCTGCGCAAATCAAGTATTTTCAGTGTCCACGTTAGAACAGTAAGTGGCAGTAAGTTAATGATGTGTTGCATTTCTCAGGATTACTTTCAGCCAGTGTTTAATATATTTAGCAGAATTAAAGCATTTTCTTCTTATGCACTTCATATAGAATCTTTCTTATGTTTTATGTTCTACATACTTTTTCTGTAAAATCAAATCTCTCTTTCAGAATACTAAAATTGCAGGATTTGTTTTTGTTTTTGTTTTTTTTTAGATTCTCCTAAGTCTAAATCAAAGAAAAAGAAAAAAGAAAAACACAACAAAAAGGTAAACATTTGCTGAGAGGAATAAGTAGTTAACTGAACAGAAAATAGATCTTCATAACCTTAAATCTCATGTAAGATTTAATGCTTTTGTCTGTTATGGACATGTCAAACAGGCTTCTGGAGCAATCGCAGATCAACTGATAGGTAATTTTGCATACAGTTGAGTTTATATTAGAACAGAAATAATTTAAGGTTCCTTTTGCCAGTCTGTAGATTTGTTTCAGCTAGAATTTAGAGCAATCCTCAAAGAAAAGAGAAATGGGAAACTTGATATTTAAGACAGTATTGTCTGACAGAAATTCGATATAGTCAGTGAAAGAGAGTAATGGACTCTCACTGGTGTAATTTTTTTTCGTTTCTATAGGATCTTCTGTTCCAGGTTTTTATACATTTGGAGTACATTAGAATAAGAGATAGAATCAGTGATCATACCATTTTTACTTCTCAAGAGTCTAAGTCTTGCTAACATTGCTGCGCTACTTTCTGTGTGCTTCAGGTAGTATGCGCTCAGCAGTGGTAAGGGTAAGCACTAGGCGCTGTCTGACTAGCCAGGGCAGTAAAAGGCTACTCGTGGGTTGCTTTTTTTACCCTTTGCATCTGTAAACAGTTGGGATATATTTCTTATACTTGTAGAAGAGGAAAAAAGAGAACAAAATGAAGAAAAAGAAAGAAAAGAAGAAAAAGAGAGAGAAAGCGGGACCTGTCCAGCTTTCCAAGGTATGCTGGTGTGCATTATAACATCCCATTATATTCCTCATCTACACAATCTGCCCTGTCATAAAAATGTCTGTAACCACATCAATTTTGTCATCAAGAAATGAAAACAGTTTTTAATTTTTTGGACAATTGGACAATAACCTTTTATACTTCTTATAACTGTTGTTAAGATTAGTAATGTTTCAGAACAAAGGAAAGCTGATTTCCTTCTAATATGTGGTTTCATTTTAGTTCTTTAAAAACAAAAAGAAGAATGAAAACTACAGCATGATAACAGGAAAGAAAATAAAGATGAAGATAAAGAAGACTAAGAAGGATAAAGAGGTAATGATTGAAAATAGTCCTTACGTCCCAAGGGACAGTCATATCTCTTTTCATATCTCTCTTTTTCTTTTTTCCTTAATATTTGTATTTTTCAGAAGAGTGGATCTTATACTTAAGAGTTTTAATTTGAATGTAGCTTTTAATGCGGCTATGGTGCCACCTGAGAAATCTAAATTCATTCTTTTGGGCATATGTTTTGTGATATGTGAGTGGGCTTGGAATATTCGGGCATGAATAGATAACCAAGGATGCCTGTGCAGGTATGCAGAATTAGTTTGTCATGCTTAGCTAATTTGTGTCTTTTCCCATTGATTAGCTTGCACTGTTTTTAATTGTCCTCCTTTCTTTCCAGTCTCTTGTAATCAGAAGTGGTAGCTGCTGCTTTTGTCTATTTTTATAATGAGAGTGAGACTAGCTATTATTTAGAGAGGAAGAGAAAAAGATGATAGCGTTAGGACCGCATGCTCATGCATTCTCTCAAAAGCAGTCGGTTTTTTTGCTGATATCCTCGGGGAACTGGATATCGTAAATAGCGTTTTGTGCTATTGGTATGGGTATTTAGACTCGGCGCATAAATAATAGGTGTGCTCTTTTCAGCAGTTTCCACGCCTTAGAGTGATCTGCAAGAGCGTGTCAGATACTCATCAATATGTGTTAAGTGTTACTTTGAGGTATCCAGTTTGGTGGATTCTGATTCAGCCATAATAATTCATTCTTTAGCTGCCAAAATACACCTGAGCATTCTAAGTTCCATTTAATCAAAGCTATTTTCAGTGTCACTAAAGTTTGTGTTAATTTATGCTGAATCCGATTTGCTAGTCCTCCTTGTTATAATTTTTCGATGCCAAAGATGTTGGCCCTTCTTTGCTTGGGTTGGGTGGCCATGGTCGTTAATGTGCTGAATTGAACAACGTGTTATTCACAGTATTTTAACCTGCAATGGTTCTGTAAATTTTGACTTTAAAACAGTGGAACCAAGTGTTTTGGCTGTTTGGGGCATTTTTTATGGTGCTTCTTTGCATCTCATATGATGCCTAGTGGGGCATCTTTAGAAGGTGCCTGAATTCATGATTCCTTTCTATTAATCGACAAGCTGCTGCTCATGAATAGAAAACCTGAGGCTTCCCAGGACACAAGATTTGCTCTGTGTAGAGTATAAAGAAAGGGATGAAAAAGGTGGCAGACCGGAGAAAGTTGCCTCAGACACCAGAGCAGGCTGAGAGCTACATGTTGACAACCACATGGAGCCTCTGCAGGGAGCCACTTAGAAATACCATGAAATAGTGACAATGACAGCTTGTCTTCTGTAGCATCTGTCCAGAGTACCCATTGCCTTGCACTTGCTCCAGACGTTCACACCTGTCTAGTAGCTAGTAATACCTAGCCGTTTGAATGCGGTGGCATTTCTTGTGCCACTTACTGAATTGTGAAAACCCACACAGAAAGCAGGCTTATGCAGCCTTGGCCCATTGAGTACAGGCCTATTGAACCGTTCCCTCTGCTTTTCTGCTCTACAGAGAGACCGGAACCGTGCCGAGCTCCTTGAGTTTCTGAACTCTGCCTTATGATGGAGAAAGTGCTGACCAAGGACTTGCAAATCTACCAAGCCAACAATCATCATGCCTCGTAAAACCCTAAAGGGAAACTCAGGGAAAAGGGCACCAAGTTGGACAAGACCAGACTCTCCTGCTGTGAAGACAATCAGGATGTCCTTTTTAATGGCAGAACGAAGAGTAACTAATACCTTGTTAGTGAAAGATCCATGTCCTCCTTTTGAGATCCTAAGGTAATAGCCAGGCTGTGATATTTTAAAAGAGCGTAAGAGTGTGTCATTGACAATGATAAGAAATGATACACTGAGGTCCAATTATGTAATCCGTACCGTAGCTGCATGCAGAATGCACTCATAATTTCAAATGTCTTAATGTTTCTAGTAGCTTAAGTGAAGCGAAGTATTTGTAAATGTTTATTTGAAAGATGAGGCATTTCTATATGTATATATTTTTTTTTTCCACTAGTAGTTTTACTTGTCCTAAAGAGCAAGCTGACCTTTGTAAATAGAACATACTTTTAAATAGATGATTCTTTGACAGTTCATTCATTAATATATTATTTTCTTTCATAGTTTGAGATATGATCCTTCTCTGGACAGTTTATTGCTCTATATCACTAGAAAGTGTAACAGTAAAATATTCTGGAGTAATAGAGGTAGCTGAATATTTTTATCTTGAAATAGGAGCAGGAAAGGTGTTTGGTTTTGTTTGCTTATCTGGATCAGCTGTTCAAAGGCAGCATGCACTCCCAATAGTTTGCCACCATGCCTGCAGTTGCTGATACCAGGGCTAAAAACATTGGAGATCTGGCCTGCCTTTCTGATCCTGTGAGCTGCGTTTCAAATCTTCCTCTGTCTGAGGAGCCTCAAAACATACCACGTATCTTAGCCTAAAAGAGCCATAAAAGTGATCCAGAGGCAGGTAGTGGCAGTGAACCTCTAAGTGTGCTGCTAGTCCACTGTAAGAGGAGACTGGTCTAGATATGTAGCTGGACCTGAACATAACGTGAGCGTGTGTGTTAGCCTTGGTAGTTCACTCACTGCTCGCCCACCCTTGAATTTTGAATACCCAACAGGCACCTCTTTTTGAGTATGTGACATAACCCCGATGTGGGAAGTCTGCTTGAATTGCTTGTGTAGCAAGTGCTCCTCAAGAACTACGGTTTAGGTACACCTAAAAAGAATAATTGATTTTCGTGAGAACATTGGGTTTACAGTGGTCAGAGTGTGGGGAGTTTGTTAAAGAGCAAACAAAAAGAAAACTCTTTGTATCTGTGTCTACTTGAGTGTTTTGGGTAGATCTGAAGATGCACGCCGCTGTTCAAGGGATAATTTTTAAACTACTTGATGTGTGAAACCTTCTGAAAATGCCAAAAGGCTGTCTTTTCTGTAGTTTTTGTTGCAAAACATTTTTTTAATTGTTGCAGAGATGTAACTCTTTAGAGACTAAGACCCTGATTCCCAAGAGCACGAGCTTATGTTCTTCCTTGATTCATGAAAAGATATAGGTAAAAACTGGAGTTTCCTTGACTTTTATAACCTTGTGATGGAAACATTTTTTGGAAGCACTGTTGAAAAACAAAAAGAGCCCCGAGCTCCTCCTTTGCTTCATCGGATCATGCTTTCGTTCTTGCTACTTTGGTATCTTGTATCTAGAGATGCCAAAATATTTTGCCCAGATAAGCAATCAGCTTTTGTCTCTTGGCTTCTCTTAACAAGCTTAATTCCAAACACGCTCTTATAAGATATCAACATCCTTGCCATTCCATAGGTTACGTTATAGGTAAAGCTAGTATTATTTCCTGGACAAAGGAGAAAAAAGTGCAGCAAGATGGGAGCTAGTCCAGACGCAAATAGGAAATGGGAAATCCAGAAATCTCACTTTATGAAGAACTTCATTGGTTAGAAGGTTCAAACTTAATTGAAATAATCTGCTTTTTGCTGTCTTACTCAGAATCAGTCTGGCTTGTGAAATCTTGCGAAAACTCCTGCAGTATTGGGCTAGTAGGGAAAAGGCAAAGGACCTTTAGTAACCTTTGGTAACATGATGTGGTTTGTTCTTCCTTTAGTTTAGGTTTTTGGTACTTGCCCACTCTGACTGTACAAAAATGAGTCAGACCCCTTTTTCTTAAGGGAAAAAAATTGAGAAACTTTTATTTGCTGTTTTGGAGCAGAGGAATTTTACCTGTTTGATTTATACGTTCTGAGTATGCCTTTGTCATGCTTTGAAGTATTTCTGTGTTAGGTTTTATTTTTAAGCTAGCGTTTCTGTTAGAAAATCAAGCTTCAACTTCTGTTGCTGTAACCTATTTTTTTTCTTTCCCGTCCAAAAAGGTCTGAGTGCTGACTGAAGCTTCCCTATGGTTGTTGCTTCTATAAACCTCCTTTTCTTTCCTACCCTTCTTCATGTGAATTTTGGGTGTCTAAAGAGGTTGGAGTTCACATTGCCTCCTTCCTTCCCCATCCTTTGCCAGAAGCACAGAGATCCCGCAGGGCTGCTATGCATGCAGCTTGGTGGGACTATAGTACCTTTGAGATTGCTGGTTGGTACTGGCCAGTAGGTTCCAGCATCACTAGTAGGGATAGGCCCATACAGCCAGAGTAATTGTACACACCTTGTCTCCTCAGGAAAGAATTTCCCTTGGGTTGCCCCTTTAACTAAAGAATAGCTTCCTAATACTGCTTCAAGTTATTGTTGCAGCTGGTAGAGACTGAAGCAGATGAGATGATGATTGTAAGGTAAGAGATGTAGAGGAATCTGATGAAATACAGTTCTAGAAAATTATATGAGGGAAGCATGTAATTACATGAGGGAAGCATGTGGCAGTACCAGATGTCGACGTGATATACAAATAGATGATAGAGAGCCTTGCTACCAGGGCTCAGAAAAGCAGGTGTCATGGGGGAAGATGAGAGGATCGAAAAACAGAAAAATCATGAGATATGGATGGATGTGGTGCATCAGAAGCAGGAGCAGAGGACAGGTGATAAGAGGCTGCAAAGGCTTAGCTGGCTGGAGAAGTTGAAATTCCTGTTAAAATGATAAATACTAGAAGTCCTTCAGATGTGAAACTTGCATTTTTTGTGTGATGAAATCCTCCCTATCCCTCCCCTCTCTGTTGCCCTGCACTGTTTTCTATTTTGGGAATCATGACAGAAATTCCAGAAACAGAAGTCACTGTTGGAAAAAAAAGATATAGTCTGTGAGCTGTTGCTGCCATGGCCTTCCTCTTTGGCTCTTTAATAAGTATTTTCTTCCATTATGAACAAGATGTGCCACAAGCAGCAAAACTGATAAAACCTGGTCCCTTGGGATTTGTGTTCTTTGCTCTCTAAGCCTTTGCTACCACACTAGCCCTACCTGCCGCTTGTGCTGTAGTTAGGCAGGCACACATGTATAATGGCTGTATGCTTTTCATCTTTCCCACGGCGGGAGTGCTCATTTGGACCTCCTGGATCTAGTTGCTAATTGTCATGAAACAGGAAAGGAACCTATTCTTTTTGAAGAGCTCTCCACCTAAACAGGATACAAATTTGTAGTGGGCTTAAAAGTTGTTGGGAGGGGACACGGCACAGTTACGTAAGATTCTTTTCTTTGGCTAAACCCCAAACATTAAAGAATGTTTGATGTAAGTAATGAGGTGATTCAGCGAGTTCTCATGGGTAATGCAACTCTTCTGTTACTCTTCTGTTTCCTTTATGGTTTGCTTGAACTTGACTTTCTTGCCTGTGCAAAAATGTACAAGAGATCGAAATGACAAAATACTAATAAAATACCATTTTCTCTTGGAGGTGCTTGCCTCCATTGAACTAGGATGTATCATCCTGCAGAGCTGAGCAGGGCCTGCGGTTTTGCCATCTGTTCCATACTGACTACAGTTCAACTTGGGACAAGTTGTGCTGTTTTGATGTTCTTGTACGGTTCATGTTGCAGGAGTATATGAGTTTCCCAGTCATCCACATAACGTCTCCATCTGCAGCAGGGAAAACTGAATGATTTCTGTATCCAGGGGAAAACTGAAGGGCTGGCATGATTCATGGGAGACCACCTGGAAGGCCTGCTGAAGTGGCCCTGGAGAGGTGTGGGTGGGGGCCCTGGCCACTGGATGGAGCTCTGACACTTACTGTAGCTGTTAAACATACTCCTCCTGCTCTTGCTCAGTGTATTTAGAAACACGTTTCCAAAATTCTTGCTCGGCTCTCAAGGTTGGGAGCTTCACTCTTATTTGGGCACTCTATGAAATAGCTGAATTTTAAGTAGTAGTGGGTTCTCCTGAAAGTATATGAGGTCCTGGGCACACCTGAATATGCTGCCATCTGATACTCATTTATATTTGAAGCTGTGGGATGATGAGCTTTTGAAGAGCAACTCCTTGATTAAAATTATGAGCAAATACCCAGCTGTATATATCCATATCTGGACAAAATGAGTCATCAAAATTAGTTTCCAGGAGAGATTGTTATTTATTTGGCTGTTGAGAGCAGGGTGTGGGGGGTTTTGTGTTTGTTTGTGTTTTGGTTTTTTTTTTTCCTTACCTGTTTGGTTCTGGCCTTCTTAAATTGTGATTCACAAGGAGTGTGAAGCATCTAGACTTTTCCGTGGGAGAGCAGGGCATGGTGCCGATGGCTCTAAGCAAGCATGTTTTCAGCCTTTTTAAGCAGTGTGAAGAACATTCATCTCCAATCCAAAAAATGTGCATTAGCTGCTGAGGTACATTGCTTAAGAAGACAACTGTTCTGACATCATGCCAGCTGCTGGTTCTACCTTCCAGTATGGCATTAAACCCTACGACTAATATCAGTTGTGTTTATTTTGCTCTTCATTTGTGAGCTGTTCTCTAGGTGACAGTGATGTGGAAGAACAGTAGTGTAGGCCAGGCGCTGTGCCAGAGTAAGGAATGTGTATGTGTGAGGACAGGCCAGGTTACAAAGTTGCTGGCTGTTTTCTGGTTAATCGCTCGCTGCTCTAAAATCTACCAGCAGATGGCATGGCTGTCCAGACAGACTGGCAGGGAAAAGTGGGGTTTTTGTTTGTTTTTGTTTGTTTGTTTTTTTCCCCTTTGGACATTGGCTTTTTGCTTTCTTATTCTGAAACCCTATGAAGGGTTATAAAGCCTGAAAAGACTTAATTACATGTTGTTTATAGGACACATTTGTTATTGCTGGCCTATGAATTTAATCCTGTGTGTGTTCGTTTCCCGCTGTTGGCTGTTTGGCTGTGCTGGGGACAGACAATAACCTCTCGTGCCATGTCTTGTCTACAGAGGCAGAGGAGAGCCTTTAACTTCAAAGCAGTTGAATGCAACAGGAGCAATCAGCCGAGTGCCAGTAGGGACCTGGAAGGACCAGCTGTTCTCCTTGCACTGCCCTTACCTGGGACTGCTGAGTTCTTTAAAAACTGAGCTGTGATCTTTTCCACCTGTTAAATAATTTTAGAGCTCCAGTGCCAGAGTATAAAAACCTGAGAAGTATTTCACTGTCACTGCATCATACCACATCTGGTTATTTAAGCTGTCCTCAGGTGCAATCTGTTGCTTCAGGTAGCCTTACACTGCTGAGAAAGAGTACTTTGGAAAAGGTACTCTATATGGACCTTGACCTGATGGAGGCCTCTAATAGCATGGTGTAATGGTCACTAAATAGTTGTAACAATAATTAAGTTCTGAGAGTAGATATTCTGATATAGAAAGCATGCATGCTCTTTCCCATGTTTCTGCAATATCTCTCACTGGGCCAGGTTAGATTTATTTGGTTGCAGCGAAATGTAATTGTGACTAAAATACAGAGGTGAGATACTAGGTTGAGTACTATAATCTGGTTATCCGGCTAAGACCCTAGGGATCTGTAGTTTTATTAATTGTACTGTGTTCATGAATCACTGCATGATTCACTGTGTTTCTTGTAGCACCTTTCCTCACCCTTCTCTGTTATGCTTATTAAGATCTGATCTTAGAAAGATTTTTTCCCCGTAGTTTGAGAATATCTTTATGCAGCAATTGCACAGAAAATACATGCCAGGGTCTGTGAGACACCTGGGTCTGAGACCCAGTTCTTGGAGTGAGCACGGTCTCATTCTGATGTGAGCCAGCTTGAAACCCAGCTTGTGTGATCATACAAAGGAACAACCATTCCCTTGTGCTGGCAGCCCACAGTGCGGACGGCAGTACCAGGGAAAGGCAGGCATGGAGATGGCGATGTCGCTGCCTGGCACAGCGGGGTGGGGCTGCGGGGAGGGGGAGGGCCGGATAGTCCTTCTCCTATGGCAGGCACAGCCAGCAAGTGTTCTCTGACTCTTGCAGTCCAGTGTGCTTCCCAAAATGCTTTTTAGGCAAAATCATAGTGCAATGATGTGCTTTATCTGGGAGGTGAAGCAGAATACAGGAACATCAGCATGGCTTTCCATTCAAGGCTCAGCCCTCCATAGCTCATAAGAGAGGCCTGTAGCAATGTTTTGGGGAAATAGGGTAAGAAACAACAGCTATTGTGCTGGTCCCCTAGTATGTTTTCACAGTTTCTGGCAAGGAATGGGGGCAGGGCCTGTGCTGTAGGCTCCATCGTGACCGCTGTGGTTAACTTACCCTCTGAACTTGTGTAGTCCCTTTTTGGCTCCATTCATCTCTCTGATCTCCACAACGTGCTGAGTAATGTGAGCTGCACTTTGGTGATACTTTGTGTGTTGGGGGCGGGGGGGGGGGAACGCCATCATCGTTTACAACACTACTTGCATGCTTTGCATATACAGTGCTTAGCATGAAAAGCCCTGATACAGCTGAGGCCTCTGCTAATAAGAAGGGTTTCTAGTAGCCAGGATCAAGTACAGAACTCTTAAAAAGTAGCTGAAGACAAAATATACATTTTTGTCACTTATAACTCCACATTTTGTGGTAATACTGATTAAACTAAGATGTGCTTGGAAGCATGTTGATGAAGACTTAAATTAAAGGTTGTATCTATAAGCCACTTGACTTCAGAGAATTTCAGACCTTTGCAGTTGTTTAATACTAGCTATGTATCTCCTTAAATCGTAGCATCTGTTTGTTTCCCTGGGTGGAAGCAGCAGGGTAGAACGCAGGTGGCTGCATTCATACCTTGTGGTGAGAGGATGTCTTCTGTTTAGCTGAAGTCTCTTTAGCCACTCTTGCCTTGATACATACACAGTTGTGCAGCAGGGCATTGGAACAGCTGTTGTGTCTGGCTAGATGTAGACAGATAAAGTTTCAAGAGCCCTTTAATTAAGGACGACAAATACAAAAATTTGGTTTGTATTTTACAGCTTTACTTTAATTCTCTTTGACGCTCCATGATGTAATATAGAAACAGTGCAATCACGGCAGACAGGTATTTCCTGTGACGCTCACTCCGGTGCCCCAGGGCTTGATGGCGCTGCCCAACTATATGCTGACACTGGTGAGGAACTTCACTTCCTGCACATCTTTGCAGGCTACCATGACCTGTGGGCCAGGCCTGTCAGCAGAAGCAGGGCTGCATAATCTCTCCCAGGTGAGTAGCAGCTCAGGAGTTTTAGCCCCTTGAAGCTGAGCAGTGTAGCTGAGGAGCTGTAGAGGTGTTGTCCTTACTTGTTTGAATGGATAGTAAGTCAAGGGCTGCATCTTTCCTGAGGTAACAGAACGTCCTTTGGCTAGTGTTGTAACGCTAGCATTGATGGGGCAACAGCCGATGCATTGGGTTAACACCAACATCCTTGCTTGGTTATGAAAGAATGGTTGAGGATTTGGAATGAGTCTACTTAAGTTCATTTGTTTGTTAATGGAGTTGTGCCCCTATTTGATGTTTTATCCTTTAAGAATTAGGACACTGGACTAGCTCTCAGGAGGGACTAAGCCCAGTAGAACAGAGATTTTGCATCCAGTCTGTGTAGGAATGTTTGTTTATATTTGCAAGTAGTGCAGCCTAAGAGGAGCAGAGCTGTAGAGGAACACAGTTATTGCTGAGGTCCTGATGTTCAAATTGTACGTGTTTCAGACAAGTATTATGTATGTATGTGGCGCAGACAAAAAGAAAGATTTGTCTCCTCTTGCTGACTGTAAAACAAGAGCACTGTCTATCTGTTAGCTGAAGATTATTAATGAAGCACATACTATGGCTGTAAGGTGTTCTGACTGATAGTATGAACACCTTTCAGGTGAATCCCTTGGCCTTGTACAGTGGTGTAGGGAAGTTCATTCCTACTGATTATCCAAAAAAAAAGAGTGAGCACATTACAGACACAGTACAGTAACAAGAAGCTTTATACCTCTGTATCAGAATGACCCTCCTCTCCCAGCAGTCCATCAAATATTGCATCAATACAGTCAATACTGAAGGTGTCAAAATAGAACACGAATGCAAATAAAATGACTAGAGACCCATAGGGTGAAATTAATGACCCTATCTATCTCAGCTTTCAGTGCCATACAGTGTCTTGCAAATAAATAAAAAGATGCTTAAAACTTACTTACTTTTAAAAACAATATTTTTTTTTTGCAATTGTGGTGATCCCTTGGTTAAAGATCAAACAGCTTCTAGAGAGCTAAGACTACACTAAATATGACAGGCTTTTGTTTTTACTTCATTTTCACAGCCACATATTTCTGCACAAGGACACACAGCTGAAAAACACCAAGCTGATTGTCAGAAGGCATTAAACTCTCTCTCATTGACCTGGAGTTGAAGTAGCCCAGCCCAAACTGAATGCTGTAGTTGGAAGCCCTGAGTTTTTGATGAAAACCAGCCTCGGCTCGCTGTCCATAGGGCTGCTGGCAGCAGTGTTTATCAAAGGACTAGATGCTCCAGCCTGATGCTAGTGGGAAGGCCACAGGTTCAGGCTTGGCTTGCCCGGAAGAGAAAGAGGAAGAGCCAGAACTCCACAGTCTTAGACAGCTGTTAAAGATTTGATCTTGATTTTTGTTTTATGCTACCCTCCTCCACCAGTGGAAGAAGCTGTAGATTTATAGTCTAGGCTAGATTTCATGTGCTGGAATTCGTCCCAGAGTTGGCACAGCCTCAAAGGGTTTTATCTTGGCTGTAGTACCCACATGCTGCTGCAAAGATCCCCAGGGAAGGGAGTCAGAAAGAGGCAAAAGAACAACAAAGCGGGGTGGGGGGCAGGGGGGCCACGAGAAGGCTATATCCCACTGGGATGACTCTCCAAAAGCCAGTCATAGAGGGAGATCTTCCTTCTCCTCCTGCTGCTGGTCATCACAAAGTACACTAGCTCTTAGCTTCTCTACAGGAACCACAACGTTCAGAGTGCCATTCCTTTTCCTTTTCTGCTGAAAGTTCTTTCTAAGGATGCTGAGTTAGCAGGATTCTCCTCAGTGGCATTTTCCTGTTTCCTTGAAGTGTCATTTCAGAACTGTGTTGGCCTACAGGCTACTCCGTCTGTGAAGGAGATTGCATCTCCTTCAATAGTATCAGCTCACTGGCCAACAGCCTCTGATACATCAGAAAGCTGCCTTCTGAGCACTCATGAGGGAAGGATTAGGGAACAGACCTTCATCAACCCGAGCCCTTCAGTCGCTCACAGCAGCAGCTTGTTAAAATGCCCTCAACTCTTTGGCCTGTACAAAGACCCTTGTAGGTGAATGCAAATTCCCTTCACCCTTCTCCTCTGTATAGTGATATTGTATTCCGCTGTTCTTTCAAACGCAGTGATAAACATTAATTTCAGCCTACTGGGTTATTACTGGGACATGGGGTGGAGCACTTACTTAACACAGAACACAGAGGACTGAGCAGTGTGCTTGACACAGCGCTGATGTACGTGCTGGTATATCTACACAGCAGGTTGTTAGATTTCTATCTGCTTGGCATGTGCTATATTTGGAGGTGTCTGCCTGCACAAAAAAAGAAAATACCCAAGAAACCTAAGCATGCATGAACTGGTTGCTGTGGAATAATGTTGGTTCTTCCTCTCCAAAACCTTGGGTCTGTTTCTACTCAGGTTTGATTGCTAAATAATTGTCAGCAAAAAAAGTTGATCAAAAGCAGGACTACATTCACATGTGAAAAGTTGCCTGTAGCACTAAGGAAGGCTGTTAGGAAAGTTCAGTTCTAACTCATAGGCCTGATCCTGCAAGCCTTACTCATGCAAGCAGTCTCTTCGCTTTGAGCAAGCTTGCTGTAGCCAGCAGCTCTCACTAGTTTGGGCCAAAAGCTTTTATCGATAAGTACATCCAGGCTGGGGGAAGGAAAGTGGGAGAAGGAGAAGAGAGACATCACAAAACTAATTAATCTCCCATAGGAAAGCAGTAATAAAAAAAAAAAAATGAGACAGTGACGCTTGCCCTTAAGGTTACTGAATCGTACTAAATTAAAGGAAAGACTAGCATGTTCGGTAATAAATTGTGTCACAGACCACATGCATCAGCAGCAGTTACTATGGACACAGCTTCCAAGAGGGGCAGAATGGAAGAGAGAGCTGGAACAAAGATGGCAGAGATAAAAAAGGGTTGACTGGGAGTTTAAAGATCACTGTCTAAAAACTTTGTTCTATGTAGAATCAGTAATCCTTGGCATTCCGAAATTCTGGCATGCTCCAAACCCTCCTGGTGGGCTGGGTGCCCCGTTCCACATCCTCAGAGATAGTCTTGATGTCACTGATGAACGGGGAAATCCTGGACCGGGATTTAAATGTTGTTAAGGAGAGGCTGGTTTTGTTCTTTGTGTTCCATTGCCTAGCAAGCTTCTTGGCCTCTTCCTCCTCTTTGATCTTCTCAGCGGCTTCCTGCAGGACGGAGCGGAAGAGCCGTGATATTTCCTGCACTTCTGGTTCATATTCAGCAATGAGTTGCCGGAATCTGAAAGCATAGTCGAGGCACAGCTTTGATTAAAAACAAATTAGGGATCATTGCCAAGTCTCAGTATTAGGCTTGGAACTTGCACTCCCTTGCAAAGCGGGCCTCCCTGGATTGAAGGGGAAAACAACAAGAACAACAAGGAGAGGCCATGAAGATATGCTCAAGGTCTCTAAAACAAACAAACACACACACACACACACACAGGAAAGCCAGAGAACATGAGGAAACAGTGAGTCACTTTCTCATAAGCACTAGAAATAAGCAGCAGAAAACAAAGTGAGGTGGTGGCAGGTTCGAAACGGAAGTGCTCTTTTCATACAACACTGATTAAATCAAAACTGAGTGCTATCAATAGCTTAAGAAACAACATGATTAGCCAAGTTTTGGGAAAAATGTGTCCATCGCTGCTAATTAAACATGATTATCCAAATGCAAATTCTGACTTAAGTAGTTTCTGTACATTCATGCCTTTTGACTCTTCCTGTGGAAGCCTGGTGTTGGACCTATATCCTAACATGATGAACGCTGACATTTCAGCATGCTTCTCTTACAGCAAGTGTTGGCAGCTACCTGTACAGCTGTGGAGAGACCAGTACTGTGTGAGGGGACTTAGCGTCAGCAGAAGCACAGCCCCTTTCATGACCAAGCCAGACAAGTTTGACTCGAAACCTACCAAAGTCACCTGGTTTTCCCTATCCATTTCAGCTGTTCAGAATCAATTCTTAGTACTCCCTTCCCCGTACAAAAACCCTCTGAACTTTGAATATTTGGATGCAAGCAGCCTCTGAGGCACTGTAATTCAGACTGGCAAATAGGTACTTACACATTGATGCTAACCTGAATTGTGCAGAGCCTGGATGAGCAAGAGAATAGGTCTTGCTGAGGGCTAGCACATACAGCGGTAACAGATCTGCGGTATGTTGCAGATATCCTTTCTGCCTTCTGAGGAGGCACTTCAGTAGCATTACTGAAGAGCCAAGAATCCAGTCCTCACAATAGGTTTACTTTTCCCTTTGTCCTTATCAGAAGCTTAGACAAATGAGTCCATCAAAACCCAAGACTTTTCCACATTATTATTATACTGGGGAAAGTGTCTTGAAAACAACTTGTGTTGCAGAGGTGAATTGGATGACTCATTTCATTACTTTATCGCCATTATGTTTTAAAAAGAGATGCTGTCATATACGTATGTATGTAACGATACACCCTCTTCTTTTGTATTGGGAAGTATGCACCCCAAAAGACTTCATCATTGCCTCCTGTTTTAGAGGCTATGTAACAAACCGCTGGATGATGTCTCCAGATCAGATGGTAGTGTGTGTCAGGCTATTGCTAGACCTGTGAAAGACTGAAAATGGGTGTAGTGTCTCCGCCACCAAGCACAGGGATCTAAGGCTGATGTGCTGTGTTGCTAATTACACTCCTAGCCAATATAGCTGAAGTAAATAGTTTTCTAAAATCGGAGTATTTTTCCACCTTCACAGCCATCTGTCTGCACTCTAGTTAGCTACAACAGCAAGAATCGTGTGATGAACACTGCTAGTGCAGATGAGCAGATTTACCTCTGACTTTTCAGGACCAACACAAGAACTACTTCATATGGATTTGAGCAGGTCTGAAAAAACCAAACTGAAAGCAATCCAAAAGACTGTGTGCCAGTCACCCAAAGAAAGCCGCTGTCTTTCTGATGGAGAAGGGAAAGGGCACCTTTTCTCCTCCTCCCGATAGCATGAACTAACTCTTCCCTTTTTAAGGCCCACTCAACTCCAGTACAAGCAGGTTTATGTAGGGGACCAGCCACATACATATAAAGTTCAAAAGGTGTGTATACAACAAACGTTTCTCAATAGAAACAGTGGACTGGTTATCGGGGGCTGAGGCTATCAGGGACTAGCTATCCCAGGCCATGAGTCAGAAGAGATGTTTGCTGCAGCTACCTATGCATAACTGAAGCTATTTTCCTCAGCTATCAGTGAAAGCCAGTTGACGCACTGGCTAATCCAGCGGTCTGCTCTCTGCACAAAACACACAACATACAAATACAGTAAAAGCACTGGAATCAAAGACTAGGGGTTTGTATCCTGCATGCCACACTAGGAAACAACCACCACCCAGCGCTGCTTAGTGGCGTCAAGCATACAAAATTGCATAAGTCTCACCTATCTTCTCGCATAGGTTAATACCCTTACACTGTTGCATGAAATAAATAGTTTCAAATCAGGCAACTGCACAAGCTTATCTAAAAATCTCCCAGTAGGGTTTCCTTACTCATCAGAAAAATATACCTGTTTTATTTGTGAAATGAGTTAGGATACTACCGGTAACTAACCTGTAACGTACTATATAAGTCTAATGTAAATGTCTCAGATGTGACTGTCAATACACCTTGAGCCAGCACAGAAGCCTGTTGAGTAGGTACATGCACACATAGGGATGAGTGTGTTCCCTCATCCAGGTTGTGCTTTAGTCACAACACATTTGTTGTGATTAAACACATTCGTTCTTTAAATTATGATCCTTCAATTTCCCATAGAACCATTAGACTTTAAGACTCTGGCTGTGCTTGGCACATATTGGCACATTTTCTTAAGCAATGTCATCTGCCTACCTTGTTCTCTAGGCCCCCCTTTCAGTATGTTTCCTCAGTGTGGCCTGAACTTTAAAGACCTGTTAAAGCCAATGGAAGTCAGTGGACTTAAACAATATGCTTATAGTAAAGCACATTCTTGAATGCCTGCCTGAACTGGCAGCTCTAAGTAGGTTTAGTCATTCAAAGAAAACATGAGATGCTTAGTGCTAGTAATTAGCTGCTGACTCCTGAATCTATATTTTGAGCAAGATTTCTGGTTATATTGTACAGCTAGGAACAGCTTTGCCAGAGAAGGTTACTTGACTCCAAAAGGACTGTGGTATTCACGCTAACCACAACACTCAAGAAGTATCAACTTAGACTAAAATCGGAAATGGATTTGTTTACCATTTTGAGCCTTTTTTTTTTTTTTTTTTTTTTTAACATTCAGGCACACTATGAAGCCTACTTCCTCTATACATAATCCTTAGAAAATTACAGTCCTTAGCCTGTGGTATTAATGACATCACAGATCACCAATATGTGGGTTTGCTTTTCCATATTAGGCTTTTTTATTTGTTTCTCTCTGGTCAGAGAAGGACAGAAGCCAGCAACAGCTTCACTTTTGCTGAAACTGAAAGAAACCATACAGACCGCAAAAACCACTGATCAGAGCTAGGTCTCAAAGTCAAGATGGCAAAATCTAGCATTCTGTATTTGCAAGCTAATAGTCTACTCATTCAGTTTAACCATGGCACTTAGGTACTAAACGCCTCACCAAAGTCATTGTCATTTCCTTCAAATGGTTCCAGGATTTAATTTTAAATATAATCAGCAAGCCTCCAACCCATTAACCTCTGACAACAGCTGAGTTGCACCTGAACATAACTGCTTTATATGTAAGAAGTAAATCGGACTCTCCAAATATTTGATGGAGGAAGTGATGGTATTTGAAGTGTATTTGAATCCTTCTAGAATTTCAAGAGACTAAGAAAAGTTTCTATTGACCCAAAATAGAACTTTTACAAAACAGGCCAACTGGATCTGGAAACAACTCTCCTTTAAAAAGGACTCCTCTCCATCCTCCTCCACAACTAAAGAAACAAACATATAGAAACTCTGCCTATCAGTAGATGCAACTGCAGGCACACAAAAAGACAACTTTGATAATCGTTTACTCTTTTGGAGATGAAAGTGACATCTTTGACAACTCATACAAACATGTTTTGTTCTGGCTTTGACTTGTCGCTGAGAATCTCACAAAGAAGGAGACTCTGCATGACACGAACAGAAACTCTGCCATCTTCCAAGATGCATGCTACTTGTGTCATTTAAGTATTATATGTTTGTGAGTAGATCAGAAAGGACATCAGCTCTTCAAATGGTGGAGAGTGAAGGGAAAGGATCAAGCTCGATAAGTCAGAGACAGAACCAAGGCCTTCCCCGAACCACATGCTCTGTACTGGAATTTCCAAATGCAAAGTTGGTTGTTTTTTTTTTTTTTGGTGGCAGAATTTAATAAAAGTTGCTAGATATTAGAAGGTGACAAGGTATTCAGCTGGGAACATTAGAAGTGAAGTGATCTTGTGATTAAAGTACTTGATTGGAAGTCTGAAGATTTTAATTGAATTCCTAACCATCATACTCATCTTGTACAACTTTGGGCAAGTTATTAAAATGTCTACATTATCTCACTTTGAGATGGGAATTAATACCAACTTTGAGTGTCTTGTAGTTCAATTGCATGCTCCTTCCTTATTCAATACATATTCAGTTCCAAGTATGGCAGGTGCCACTATTTTTCACTGTTTCCAGATCAGCAATTGCAGATTTCTGAACCACAGACCTCTCAATTAGAAGGCAGAGAAGGAGAGGAGGGTTCAGCTGTTTACTGTCTCTTCTAATAGAAGAGAAAGTGGTTATTGAATAAAACTTGTACATGTTTAAGACAAAACAAAATACAGTTTGCTACAGCAAAACTGCAGTTCAGACGTGGAATTCTGCCACAGGATGCCACAAATGCTACAATTTTACACGTGTTCAAAAAAAACCTGAAAAAATAATGAAAGAAAAAGCCACACAGGACAATTATAAACAGAAGTACCATTTCTGGCTGAGAAAGTCTCTAAGTCACAAGTCACACTAGGTTGGAGGCTATACAGAAGACACTGTAATCGTCCATCCTGTAGTATTTGCATGCCTTCTTATTCTTTCCCCTACACAGATGCTACTGGCCACTCTCTCAGATACCAGACTGCACATTAGATCAAACAGACCTCTGACCCAATCTAGTTCTGTCATTCTTATGGCTATCACATTCCTTTCTCAATCACTAAATTGAAATCATAAAGGCAATGCAACCCTAATTTCTTTTTTAACGTGGCTCTGCTAACCACTCAAACGCCATAGTATGGAATAACAAGAAACATGCCGCTCCTTGAATGATACTGTAATGCAATTCATAATGGCTTATAATGGCAATTTGCAAGAGCCTTTCTTAAAGGATGGTTTTGTCCTTTGCCACAGTTATGCACACATAAACTCAGCCCACATTGTTGAGTGTGTTTACGTACTGTTAACACTAGGCTGAATCCAAACAACACTGAGCAGCTAGAAGTTGTGGAAAAACACAAGCACTCTTGTGGGTGATCTGGCTCAGCAAAGCAAAGGAATTCTCTTTTATAAAGCAGAAGATGAACCTTGAGACCTCCTATCTCCAATGACAGAAGCCTGCTCTCATGGAAATACCTGCCTGCCAGAAAGGCATTGCTCAGTGCCCCTGAGGAAGGTGAAAATAACCCTGAACCCCAAGGGGTTTATGGTGGCTTGTTTACAGCAGGGCTTGGAGTTATATAAGCAAGTATATAAGCAAGTATCAGACACCTGCTATTCCCAGCAAACTTTGACAGGAGAGGACTTGGCCACTGAATGATCCCAAGTCTCTAATTCTGCCACCATGGCAGCCTTTGCAAGAGCTAAATCCTGGTGCCAACTTGTTTCCAAGGGTCAGCCCTGGGCAAGATGGGGCCTGGAGGGGGAGCTTTGGCTTCCCTGCCAGGCCCCACTGTAAGACAGAGGAATAGCTAGCTATTTCTAGTTGCGCAAGCTGTAGATCTGTTTGTTCAAGGGAAGGTAGGTGCCAGCACATTGCAGTGAGGGACTGCAGGGTGCGAGCACCCCTGCGTATGTGGCCTGCCAGAATTGTCTTCTTAATAGTCCCAATCACAGGACATGCTGAAAAGAGGAAGCGGATGATAAAGGCCCATTTCACTACTTCACTTTGGCTAGGGTGACTTAAGAGTCATTACTCCTTACCTGCACTGGGCTAAGTGAGAGGAGAAACATGCTTGGTCTAATAATAAATAAAAGAGAAGAGATGCCTCTCTCCCTTCCCGTTTGCATGCCTGCTGCAGGCTTACATCTATTTCTGAAGTCACTCCCAAAAAAGCTTATTCAACCAGCAAGCAGCCATCCCATATCTAGCACTTGGCAGGCTCAACAGCAAGTCCACGAAGCTGTGTCAACATCTACACTGCAAAAGGCAAAAGCACCTCCTCGCTATTCAACCCAACTGCATGCCCCACCTGCATCCTACTCCATGCCAAGGGATGTCCCAAACAGACCCTCCTCCTTTCCTGGGGAAAACCAGGCTCACAGGCTGAAAAGAGCAATAGCACCCCTTCAGTGTGAGGGGACATGCCTGCATAGACCTGCTGCACACCTTAAAGGATAGGAGACCCTAGTCAGAGAAGACAAGCACTAAAACAGGTTTTCTAGAGGCTGTGGAATCTCCACATTGGAGATGTGCCATATTGGACGGACAAAGCCCTGAGCAACCTGATCTAACTTTGAGATTGGCCCTACTTTGCATGGGATGTTGAACCAGATACCTACAGATGTCCCTTTCAGCCTGAATTATTCTGAGACTGAAACAACAGCCATCATTATACTTAATCCGTAACTGTTCATCAAGCAAGATGAAGCTTCTCAGGCTGGTCAGAAACATGAAGCACTTGAGCCACTCTCTGGGGAATGTGGCATTTAGTAGCTTTTTGAAGGGAAAGATACCATGTTAAACTGACTTAAAACAATAAATCTCAGAAAGGTATTGTTGCAACGTGATTTATGATACTGGATGCCAAGTCTTGGTTCTGTGTTCTAAAAAACTCACAGTCCCTCCTTGCATACCTCAAGGGGAGAGGGGGAAAGGAAGAGTTTGTATCATCGGATCTTTCACTGTACCTTAGTATGACAGGCCCACAGTAGGAAGGATGTATTTTGGTACACATATCCTCCAGCTGCAGCCGTTCTCCTGGGCTGATATCATAATTCTGCTTTGGATAGCTGACCAGCCAGCCGTAGTCCACCCCAGTCTTGATCCTGCGATACTCATTCTCCCGCTCTCGCTGCTGCTTCTCTGCCTGCTTGATTTGCCAGCTCAGCTCCATCATTAGTGTCTCAGCCACCATCTCTGTGGGGTTTTTCTGAGAAACTCGGTTTGGGGGCTCGTTCCACCTGAACCAGGATGCCAGTGACATAGTGCCCTGCGTTCTTCATTGGGAGCGGGGAGGAGAGAAAAGGAACAACAGTGCCATGATCAACACAGTTCAGACAACAATATTCTCACCCCACACTACTCAAGTCTGCTGTTCACCCAAAAGTGCTACTGGATTAGCCACTTGGAACCAGCTGAGCACCTTAAGAAATCTCACCCATAGCAGCTAGTTTGTGCCGAGGGAGAGGCAAAGTGCACAGGGGAACCATTTCCCTTGAACTTGCAGTCATCACATAACTAAAATGACAGTCACAGTTCCCATGTCTGAAGGTAAGCCGGAAGGATACCTGCTCCCTCCACGTTAGGCCGGAGAAGCGCGCTCTACCCCAGGGAAGAGCTGAGGCTAGGGCTTGCCTGTCTGAACCTCCACCAGAGGGCATGATCTCACAGCACCGTGCAAAAACTCGGCATATGGAGTCAAGGGTTTACAGGTATTCCTGGGAGCCACGTTCCAGCCAGCAGCGGATTCTCAGCGGGTAGGGCAGGATAGATGACCTGGTCTGGTTTGCTGCTACCATGACAGAAATGGTAGAGCTCCTCTGTACTTAGCCTGCACTGGCAGGAGCAACAGTTGCATTAACTCCAAGATCAGCCAGAGCTCTTAAAATTATTCAGCAAAGGAGTTGCATGCACAGGAGGAGGCTACTCCATCTTCTGCAAACAGAGGCCAACCGTTGGTTATGCTGGGAAAGCACACCTTAGGCGCTACCACCAGCGCCAAGGGAACTGGGGCTGGGCTGGCAGGGAAGTAGCAGCACAGAAATAATAACAACGTAAACCTTGGTAAGAGGGATGTTTCTGCTGCTGGGGATTTATGCAGCACTTAGAAGGCAGAACAAACTGCACCAATCAGCTCAGCAAAGGACTGAATTAACTTCCCTCCTACCCAATCCCTTCACGTAGTCTTTTTAAGAGGACAAGGCACGGAGCAAAGTTATTAACTATTTTATTTGAATTTAAAGACAACGGAGTCCAAAGCAGGCCCTAGGGACCTGAACAGGAGCAAAACAGCAACAGCATGTGTCACATGGCACACTTACATGCCTTGTTCCTCCCATCCATTAGACCCCAGGGAGAAGGGATGGCACAAATTATGGCTGCAGCTGGGATTTACTAAAAGGCTCTTCCTGGCAGCAGCCCAATCAGGACATGGCATCAAAAGTTAACATAAGGGCAGTGGATTAAAGAGCCTGCTTCTGCATGGTCTGAGCAAATTCTTACCACTTAGAGACACAATCATGAAGACTGGGAGAAAAATAATGCTTTTGATTTATGTTATCTTGGGGCTTAGAGTCTTTAGTCACTGTGCAAATCACCAGAAATTCATAACTACCCAGTACTCTCACTAAAGCTGAGAGCTAGGAGCTCCTGGACTCCTGAGTCTCAAGAAAACCGTTGCCATTTGCATTGGGCAAGAAGGCTGCTTCAGATGCTTCCATGCCTTTGCCATTTCACCTTGCAGTAACGCAGCCTTATTTTCTTTCAGAAGTGTTCCTATTATGTAAATATGGCACACCATTCAAGGAATAAGCTCCAAAGGCCTGGATAGTCTGTAGAGTGTCTCAAGTTTGAAATGATTTCAAGGTCTACTCCTCAGGCTTTTCTAGAATCAGTAAGTTTGGCAAACTGCATCAAAGGACTGGTTTCACCAGTCCAATATCCTACCTCTCACAGCAAGCAATATCTGTTTCTTCAGAAGGAAGATATAAAAGCCTGAAGACTTCCACAGGACTCAGATCTAGCTGCCTAGGCTTGTAAGGCTGCACATGCTCTCGGACTGTATGAACAGTAATGCCTTTGCTAGTTTACAGCGCTCATACAGGAGGGATCCCTGTAGCAACTGGTTTTTGGCCCTAAGTACCAGATACGATTGCTCTTCTGATATTAGCCATAGCCAGCAGCAGCAGCTGGAAGTCATCCCGCTCCTATCTAACTTCCATGTGCTGTAGGAGGAGCAGCAGCAGGTCCTTTCATTTGCTTTCATCACCAGCTGACCCCAGCTACCAGCAATATCTTGCTCTCATTATCACAGCGCTTTGGCTGCCTGCTGCTGGCTTATTTGCCCAAGCCAGTGAACACAGGCTGGAAGCGATGCGCTGACAGCTTCAACTCTACAATCCTACCATCCTAAAACATAGCAGGATCTTGTTACATGGCGGCAGCCTTCACTCATCATTACAGGTTTTTAAGGGTGAAGATCCTGAAACCCTAAGACCCCTTCCATAGTCTTATCACTCCCTGAATGCAGCATAGGTGAGCTGCCTGCTAGCAAGTGAGCAGCAGAATAGATCACAAACCGTTGCAAAAAGGTTTAAAAGCCTTCTGTCTGTTTTCAACCCATGTGAATAGCAATTTATCATAAGCAATTGGTCAGGTATCTGACCAATTAAATTATCATCGCTATTTTCATCAGTACCTTCACCTGATGAGGCTGAGCATGCTCTATTACTTGTGGTATTTTACCAGCCAAAGAGTTAGCTTACTCTGTTTTTATTCTGGCTGTGACCTGGTCTCACGCAGGTTTAACTCTGCTGACTTCAGTGGCGTTAGCTGAGGAAAGTCAGTATAAAGAAGCATCAGCTGTGAAGCTAAGGCTGTTCTTCCTTCTCCCAGCTATTCGTAGCTCACCAACTCTTTCATTACAAGAGGGATGAGGGAGTAATTTAGTGGTTAGAACTGGGAAACAAAGCAAGGAGGAGGCCTGGGCTCTGACTTGACCCACCTTGACTTTCACCTGGTCCTGGGCTCTTCTTACTGCCTTTTTGTTTCATCTCTCAGTCCTCCCTCAAAGCAAGCAGATCTGTGCAAGAAGGACTCTTTTGCTTAGCACTTACGCTGAATATCAAGGCCGTTCTGCAGAGGACAATCAGTTAGAAAAATATTTCAGATATGTTGTCAGAAGAGCACGGCCTTCTGAACCCAAGCTCGGCACTAGCAGAGAGCTTTCATAAAACACTAGTGACAAGTAGATTAGCTTTTGCAAAAGAACCCATGTGATACAGGAACATGGATACTACTGACTCTGAATGGGGCTTGCACTTTTCTCCCATATGTTATTTGAAAATCCACTTCTAAGTGAGAAGAGTATGAAGTAAGGAAAACATCTCACCTGCAATTGAAATGGCCTGTTCTCAAATGAAGGCAAATCTTATTCAAGCATTTTAGGCTCAGTGGCTGCTTTTGCCAGCTGTTCCTAAGGGAGCCTTGTTTGTATGAGATTGTTTCCTTCCCCATCCCTCATCCATCATTTCCTCCTCTTGAGAGCTGGAAACTGGCCATCTCTATTTAGCAGGATTGACAAGCCACCACTCTCCCCACTACTGGTCCTTGCAGCCTGCAGGAGGTACTATGGGCTCCACTAATTGTAGCTGCTGTTTTCAATTTAAAGTTCACATGCAGGCTAATCATTAAATGACTCAAAATGGCTTTCCTATTAGGAAAGATTCAAAGGCCCGTTAGCAGCATGTGGCCAACTAAAGGGAGGGGAAAAGGTTCAGAATTACCTTCTTATTGGGGAAAAGGACCAAAGTGCATTTTGCAAGTATTCATATTAAAATTACTAAAAGAGAGAGACACTGCCCCATCTGATATTTATGCTGTACAGTCGGCGAATCTTCTGGCCCTTTATAACAGACTAGCCTGGGAGCTGACTAATTCAGCTGATGAACTGGTCAAGTGCTATTCGAGCAAAATTTTAAGAGTGGTTTATAGAAGTTCCACTCCAGAAGCAGTTCCGAGTTTCAAGATTTTTGTGTCATTGACTGTACTAGAAGCCAAACCTTCCCTTCACACTGTTAACTACAAGTCTGGCCAACTACCTCTCAGGGTTTTAAGCATCCTTTTATGTTAGTTACGTTAAAGCCTGGAATTCCTGACTTCTCTCTCACACACAGACTCTGAGGGTTTCCTTCAATTTTTTAGCAATTGTTAGTAAGCACCTTTGAGTCTCAAAAAAACATTTTGTCTCTTTCTAAATCTCATTTCTCAACAATTGCTGCACTTCTCTCCTTCCCACCTCCTCTAGAGCTTTGTCCGTTCTGTTCTCACCACATGCTCTGTACTACTACCCCAATTCTTCCACTTCTTGCTCCAGAGACTGCACAAAGGAGTCAGCAGTAGTATCAAGGTCTGCTTGGCTCACTCTGTTTCTCACCTTCCCAAAACAGAATCACAGCCTTTCCTAGCTCTTTTTCTAACAAAGGAAATATTGTTCTGTAGCTTGCTCTCTGGCTATTGTTTGGTCTGCTGGAGGCTGTTCATATAACTGGACAGACATCAATCTCCTTCAGGCTCTTGCAAGCAGGATGACCACTTGCTAAGACTTGTTACATCAGGGCTGCTGTCTGGTAAGCCATGAGTCAATCAGCAGCACCTGCTTCCCTGGTAGAAACTGAACTTCTGAGAACGAAGAATTCCCTTTCCATTGATCCTTCTCCTGGCTTCCAGCTTCCAAAGCCCTCCAGGACTGGAAAGGAGTAGGCAGAGAGTGGGATCTGCATTTGTTAAAAGTGAGAATATAGCTTGACTCTCGATAAAGATTTCTTCTCAGTTTGACAGGTCTCCTGTGGTTTGCCTTTCTCTTAGCAGTCTGTTAATCTAGGAGCGCTACTGATAATCCTTACTGATTTACAGTAGTCCTCAGAGTAAGTCAGCTGTGTCAGGGCAGAGGGAGACAGTTCTTGAGGGCTTGGACGAGTGGGAGCCTAAGCCAAAGTCCAGTGACGTCAGTGGTAATAGTGTCATTCATTTCAGTTGGCTATAGATAGAGTCCGAGGAAATCTACTGTCAGCCGGGCAAAGCATGCCTACAAATTAGGCTGAGGAGCTGGGAAATGCCTTCTCTCCCATCTTGTGGGTGGTAGTTCCTTACTACTAGCAGCAGAGAGCAGAGAAATAGAACTTGTTCATGCACTCAACCTTTTTCCACATATGCGGGATCAGAGAGTAACAAATAGAGGAATATGATTTCTAAAAGAAGTAGGACAAGCCCCATCCCCAAATTGTGCTGATAATCTGAGCCATTTTTCAAGGAACTGGAGTCACAGGAAAAACAAAAGATGTGAAACTGTGGGTCATACGAAAATAATGAATTAGTTTTTATTTTCTGCTTCGGTAAAGTTTGGATTACATCCTCCAGAAGAGTCAGACAGTGTCCTCCAGACAGCAAAGGGTATCTAAGTTATCTCTCTACACTGCAACTCAAAGGTAGATTAAAGCTGGTCTGACTACACCCATCTCAGAAGTTTATATGTGATAACTGATGCAACATTTAACCAGCTTCTCGGGCAAGGTTTGTGTTGTCAGGGCTGTGCTGCTAGCTGTACCTGCAGGAAGCAGTGTAAATAGTGACAGCATCATGGATGAATCCCAAATGCTGTTTTTGTTGTGACAAAGATATTTTAATTTTGTTCCAAATGAAGAATCTTAGCACAGTTCTAATGAAGAAACTGCTGTCAACACCTTCCCAATTTTATTTATATAACCCACCCTAACCTCATAATAGAATCCCTGCTTTCTGTTCTCCACCACTTTTCTGCAGAGTTAGTTATCGTTATCCTCTGCATGTGGAGGTTTACCTCCCCAGGGCCCAGAGAAAGCCACCTCCCCTCTGGATGGAATCTCTCTTATTGCTTAGCAATGTGGAAGGCTACGGTGTTTACAATTACTTGCTGCGCTATTGTAATCTCAGTGGAAATTATGACCTCAGATTGAGAGCCCACACCTATCCCCCTAACCTTGCTGGGAGACAATTAATGCTGCAAAGCGTTTGATAGAGCTTTTCGATCAAGATACTTAAAAGCAATGCAAATATTCCGGTAGTAATGCAACAGCACTCCTCACCCTGAACTGCTGAATAGAGAGGATTCTTGGGGAGGCCCAGGGGTCTGCTTTTAGACCACATCAGAGAACGTATTTCACTTTATGAGCATACCTGTTCTCTTGCTTTGAGGGACACAAGCTATTTGTGGACAAAGAATTTTCACAGTCGTTAATATATATCCAAGGGCATGACCCTGTTTCAAGCAGCAGGGAGTTTTCAATAACAGAAGCGTAGGGGATCAAGCCAGTGCTTTAAATGAAGCATTATTTATTGTCAGGTCTTCATGGCTGCAGGTGTTAAAGAATGACAGATAGAGCCTGACAGCAGTGTCTGAGAGTGCTAATGGGAGCAGGGACACTATGGCACCCAGCAGGCACTCATGTGCCAGGTAATGCTGGCCCCCCTTGCTTAGGTCTGGACCAGCCTGCTGCAGGCTGATGGCTCCTGCCACTGTGCTGGTTTGCTTCTGAATGACAGGATCTCTCGGAGATCTGTGAGGTGCATACTGCCATTCTGCATACAGTCCAATTCTCATATTCTGTATGATTCTTTTCTCCACTAGACTCTGCATTCTCAGCATTATAGAAATGGGCTGCCTCTTTGTCTGGTGTAATTGCCACAGAGTTATGAGTCACTTAAGCCACTTATGAAATGTGCTCAATGGTGTAAATATATAAATGTATATAAATGTATATATACATGTCTGTGTGTATATATATAAAACCTTTTAGTAGCATAACAGAAGGGCAGCCACAGCATACCTTGCTGAAAGAAGGGCTGCAAGATAAGAGAGGAATAAAAGTGATACCATTTCTACCAAAGGAATGTTTGAACAGCCTTTTGAAACTACCACAATGGTTATGGCATACATAGTTATGTCACGTTTTCTACAGTTAGTAGCTCTGAAAAGATTTATTTGTAATGAAACTCTTTAAAATTGAGAATACAAGTAAAGCGTAAAGAATAGAAGTGTTGCTCTGACTGCATGTGTATAGTTTTCTAATACATTCTTCGAGCATCAGTCTTTTAGAAAACAAATATTTCTGGTGCATTTCATATCCAGACTTACACTGCAAGAGGGCTAAAGACACAAGAACTTGGCCTGAACTGGGCTCAGATGTCAGTGAAAAAGCTGTTTTTAAATGACCAGTCAAAACAACATAGGCAGAAAAGGTAGCTGATCAAAACTGGTACAGCTTCATGATCTTCAGTGAAGCTGGACTGATATAAAACAGATTTCCTTCACTGAAAATAAATAAACAAACAAATAAAAGAGCTGTGTCGGTTAACTCCAGATAAAAATCCAGGCTACAGATCTTGAAGGAAAAGTGAACGAACAGCCCAAGAGCCTAGAGCTCTCGTTATGGCTGGAACTCTCTACAGAAGATAATCTTCCTGTTATCTGCAGAAGCAAAAGGGTGGGCGGTTTTCAAATCTGCTTACATAGCACAGTGGCTTTTTACAGTTTGCCTACTTATCAGAGCAAATAAGTTCCATCTGCTGAGCACCAGGACTACTTCTATGCCAAATTCCCACTCATGTTTTAAGCAATAAATATTTTCTAATATCAACCATAAAAATATCGTATAAGAGTTACACTAGATTGTTAGTTAAACCTGCCAAAGCCAGGAAGTTAAAATACACACTGATTTGCTGTTTTTTGCTCAGACAAGGCTACCTTGCTGGTGGTACATCAAGCACACCTTCAATACTATAGCCTAGTTTGCTCTCTACAGACTGCAAAGTCAGGCTTTCAGTGGTATATAGGGACCTAAAGTATTCTTCATCAGTCATGTAAATGAGAGATCCCAGGTAATATAGGCACAGAGCTTTCCTGTTACTAAAACTACACAAACCACAAAATGCTACCATAAAGCAACAGTAAGCATCTGATGCAAGTCTCCAACACAAAATGATTTCAAAATTAAAACTCGGGGAGCTCCGCAGCTCACTTTTTTCTATTATACAATTCCTGTAATATACTCTGTTATTAAAGGGGCAATGATGCCACAAACTCTGGAGTTTCCAATATTGCCATTCACAGTAGATACTTATATCTGCAGAATTAAGTGAAGCACGAGCTTGAAACTCAGACCCAAAAGCACATTATCAACAGTTGTCAGGTCCACTAAAGTATTTCTTATGTATATATTGTGGCACAGACGAGACTAAGTTCTGTGAAAATGGATAGGACTGATTCTGCTGCGAAAGCGAGAGTAACTCGTAAGGTGAGAATCCATTTTAACAGATGCCTGTATGTTTCTTCTGTTCAGTACTGAATCTTGGTTACAGTATCTATCAGAAGGAGTAGTTACTGGAGAGCTTCAAAGTTGCAGTCTCAGTTGACAGGAGAACTATTAACCTATGTGGGAGTTGTGCCCGTATTGGGGAATACTAGGATCAGTGTTGAAATTTGATCCTTGTGACAGGAGTTACTTAAAAATACACTTTTTTTTTAAATTAGCCCTCATAAGAAGAATGCTAGACTTACAGTATGAAAACTTAAGCCACTCTTCATAGAGATC